TATGTTTTGGACAAGGCCTTTGGGAGGGCCCTCCATTCTGTAGGGATGAAACTCATCAAGTCTACAGGATGTCCGAGACCCTTTGTGGGAGGCCTGGGCTGTAGGAGAGAGTTTGGTGGGCGTGGGAAGTGGGAATGGGGGAAAGAGGGAGCATAGCAGAGGACAGTGTGCTCATCTGCAGGCTATTCTTTCCTCGCAGTGATCTCTGAAGTCTAGTGGCTGAGCTGTTTTCCTTCGTCTCATATGGGTGAAGGTGAATTTTTAAATTCCCTTTTGCTTGGCATGTTAACTGTTGCTCAGAGAATTTTCCTCTCCAGGGGTGTGGTTCTGTAGGTGCCCATAACCATTATCTTGATGTTTTTTTCCTCTGTAGGTAATTGACTATAATGGGGAGAGGACGCTAGAAGGCTTCAAAAAATTCTTGGAGAGCGGAGGTCAGGATGGGGCAGCAGCTGATGATGTGAGTAATATTAATACAGTACTCTGGGCCTTCAGGATATGGAGCGTGGGTCGGATCTGGTGCTGTGCTCAAATAATCAGTCCTAAATAAGATCCCGGGTTGTTACGTGGCAAGAAAGGCTATTGTTGGTGAACAAAGTGCCCATGTCATAAAATGTCGCTTATTCAGTTGCAGCCTGCCTGGCCATCGGTCTGTAATGGACTCCTTTTATTGAGAACACTTCAGTTGAGTGTGAAATAAACGTTTTTGGGAGGCTTAAACACAAATGCACGGAAACTGTTGATATTATAACCTCTAACTTTGCACAAGCTATCTCTGGTGCTGTGCAAACTGCTGGAGTTCTTAGAGGGATTGTTCTTTATTAAGAACTCCTGCTCAGCAGCTGGACCTTAGCAGTATGATGAACATTATGTATGCAGTGTATCTAGTTGGAAGCTCCTCACCTGCTGGGGTGGAGGGTATTGCAGGTACAGGTACCAGCTTCCAGGGATTTCTATCCTTAATGTCCCCAATCCAGAGCTCTTGGTAGAAGTCTCTGGGTGTTTTGTTAACATGGCAGTAGAGAATAGTGAACAGATTAGAGATGTGTTCTGTGCTGGGTTTTGGATCTGCCTAATGTGCCAGAAACCTGTAGCTGTCTTTAACCTGTACAGGATCTGGAGGACCTGGAGACGGATGAAGAAACAGACCTTGAAGAAGGTGATGATGATGAGCAGAAAATCCAAAAGGATGAATTGTAAAGAGAAGACTGATCTACATCACCCAAAAAGTCAGACACTAAATTGGCTGCTGTTACGCAGCCCAGTGAGTTGGAAACCCATTAAGATTTAAAGCAGAAGGTGAATGACTGGAAATCCAGGGATTGGCTTTTAAAGTAACACTTTGCCCTCACTTGTCTGTACACTTGACTATCTTTTCTTTCTTTTTGCTTTTGAGAAGGGATCTGTCACTAGGTAGCCAGCCCAGCCAGCTGGGCTAATTTTTTTTATTGTGATGTACTTTTTTTGTACACAGCTTTTGTTTGAAGTATTCTGTTCTTCTGGGTAGAAGCAGATTGTGAAGCGGTAGCACGAGTTCAATGGCCCAACATCCTGGAGCCTTGCCACTAACATCTTCCAAGAAAGCTTTTTTCCCTTGTTTTCTTTTAAAACTAAAGCCCATAGTTGACTTCTGCACCTGGCAGGGTCCTTAATGGTCTCAGCTGTTCTTCCCTGGAATCAGCCTTCTGTATATGTAGAGGAAGAGGCAGTAGGCTGATGGCATCATCCTGGTTAAAGGTGCATATGAAAGTGCTTCTCTTCATGCTGGCCAGATGATTGCTTTACCTGCTGCTTTAAAACACTTGGAGATTACTATTCTGAACACCTGGAAGGGTGGAATACTGTGTGCACTGGCTGTGGCAGGCTCTGAGGGTGGAGGTGATCGCTGGCTCACCAGCTTAGGTGAGACCTAGCTGTGGTGCCATCCTTTCGATCAAATGCGAGACTGGTTTGCAATCACTTTCCATGCATTATTTTGAATGGGTTGACCGGGCAGGTGGGTGGTGTGGGAGGGCCTGACAAAATAGATCAAACAGGACATTTGCAATTAACTGGGTTTTGGGGAGGAACTTGAAAGGGGGAGTGCCTCAGAGGCCTGAGTAGCATCAGGCTGGTTCTTAGCATTCCACTATAATAACATTGGAACTGAATTTGTTGGCCAAATAAAGTTGAGATTTTAATACTATCATGTCTCTTTGTCTTTATCAGAATATAGAATTAATGTATTTGAGCCTGACCTGAAAGAGGATCAGAGTTCTAGGGTGATTCTCAAGGGACTCAACCAAATTGGTGTGTTTGTCAGCTTTCTCAAACTTTCACTAAATACCACATTTTTTGGGAGAAACCACGCTTTCAAATGCTTCCAGTTTTGCAGGTGACTTGTGGTACCTTAACCTGAAGAAATTTGTGTTGTGTAATCTACGAAGGGGAAGAACTTCAAGATGACCATGTCATGTCCCAGTTAAATCGGCTTGTGCAGGCAGACAACTAACAGCTCTATTAGCAGGGAGCGGACATTGGCTTGGGTTCTGAGAATAAGCAGCTCCACTTGCCAGCTGGCTTGAGGTGAGAGGACCTCATTGCTCTGGAGCAGTTAACCAAGGAATTTGCCTACAGGGAAACCTGGGGCTGCCTGTAGCTCTGCTAGTCAGGCTCACATGATCCAGTGAGCTACACTGCTATTTCCAAACCAGTCACTTACTGCTGAAAATATTTTTGTAAGAAAATATGCTATAAATGTCACATGGGAGGGCAAGCTAGAGGGCAACTCGGGAGTCTACTGGTGCCTGTCAATGTGAGTGCGCTGGGCTGGTAGAACAGAAGTGTTGTACAACACTTGTCTGCAGCACCAGCTCCAGCTGCCTCCAGTGGGTGCTCTGGGAGCAGAGCCCCTGCCCAGTCCTGGCATGGCACAAACCTTTGGCGCAGCAGCAGCTTGGTTGGGGCTGAACAGGCAATTGTGGACCATGGGATCAGAAAACAGTGTTTGCTACTGCCTGTTCTATTAGTGATCAGTTGTATTTGTGACTGTCACCTGTGGTTATGGGGATCTTTGAAGATGCCTCCCTCCAGGGCTGTGAGCTCGCAGGTCTGAAGACAGGCAGGGGACTTCTTCTCAGTGTAGCCCACCTGCCATTGCTGTACCCCAACAGAGCAGGCAGTGCTAGCGGCCGGTGTTAGGGCTGGTTAGTGGTACCTGCTTCCAAGTAGGAAAGCCACCTTGTGTTTCGGGGTGGGCAGGAAGAGAGCAGTGCTAGTAAGAAGTTCCACTGGAAAGTGCTGGCTAGGAGTTGGCTCAAAAAGGTCCATTTTGTAGAGACAGTTAAAGAGTAAACAAGGATGAGCTCTGCAGTGGTTCTCCTCTGCAGTCTGAGACCTGCCTTGCTCAGCTCAGGGGAGGGGGGCTTTTCTCATACACCAAGGCTGCTCTTGGTGGAGCAGGACTCCATTGGAGTCATCTTGTGTACACAGCTAATTGCTGTTCCGAGAAAGTGGGCTAAAAGCGTTCTGTCTCCACAGCAGATAGCTCAGCCTCCTATTGAACAGTGTTCTGTCTGATGTACTGACAAGCAGAGATGCTCAGCCAAAAGATCAATGTGTTTGCCAGAAGATGAACAAGTGCAGCAGGCAGTTCTTGGGTGCGTGGCTAACCGAGCTGTCTCACTGCTGGCAGGGGTTCAGGACAAGGGTCCACTGCAGGAGGGGCAGAGTAAAATCTGCAACTTCTAACACAGGACAGGGATTTTTTCCTAATGTACCGCAGGGGAGTTCATTGTCCTGCCTGGACAATCCCTATCAGCACAAAACAGCACACAATACGCTTTGTGTATCTGAAATGACAAAACTTTGATGGGGAAAAAAGATGGAGGAGCAGTTGTTGCTTGAACCGCTGGCAGATCTGAAAGATTCCTCTGTAAATGGTACGTTTTGGGCCTTTGACAGCTACAGCTGGAAAGTAACAAGTGCAGGAGTTGTCTGGTGGTGGTGCTATTCTTCAGCTGTTCTTCTGAGGCTGCTCTGTAGAAGTTTGCCCTTACATAGCAGCTGGTTCTGCATTGTAATTAGGACATTGAACGCATGGACCGACATCATAGGCTTCTGGTTCTGTGCCTGCATCTGGAGGACCTGCAGCACCTCTGTCCTTGCAAGGGCACTGACAGTATCCAACATGCCGGTGGTGTTCTCCATGCTTAGCCGCGTGCTGTCTTGCAGCCGTGCTGGGAAGCACAGCTCATTCTGCTCCTTTCAAGTTGTCTGATGCAACTACGGGAGAGTGACTTAGCTCTGAATGTATTTGGCAGCACAGCTCTGACACGTCTGCATTCGCCGGCTGGACAGTACACGAGTGGCTGGTTCCCCTTGCTTGGTGATTGTGTTTGTGCCTTCTCCCTGGCATGCGTGCATGTGTGCGTGAGGGCTTGCTGCCGAGAAGTTCTGTTCTCAGGCCCTTGAGCTCCTCTGAAGGGCTGTCCATGCAAAAGCAAGAGTAGGTTTGACCCCTTGGATGGGCACATCAACAGGTGGGTGGTAAGATGAGACACCAACTTCTGCCCAAAAGTGGGAGGCTGCGGGCCTGGGCGGCTCGATTACAAGGTATCATGGCAAATAGGATGAGCTGCATGTCCTCAAAATAGCCCACAGGAGCCTATATAACACCATGCCCCTGGAGAACCATCAGTCCTGGGCCAAGGGCCTGCGGGAGAACTGCGTGTGCCCAGCGCCACCTCCTGCATGCAGCACGGGAGTGTAGGGAGAACCGGCGAGGGGAACTGGCACCCACTGGGAACACCGACACGGTCACAGGCACAGAGGGAGCGCAGCGCTGCGGGCGCCATCACACCTGCGTAGCGAGGAGGGAACCTGACAGGCAGAGAGGAGAAAGCAGTGCTTTGAGGCCAGCGAGTCGTAGAGCCAAGCACTGAGCAACTCCAGCTGCTCCTACAGCTCCCCATGCCTCTGCTCCTCCTCTTCCTCTGCAGTCTCTGAAGGCTGCGATCAGCATGAAGGACTATTACGCAGTCTCAATGCCCCGGTACAGTCGGTACGCCCAGAGACTGAGAGCCTCACGCACTGTGCGCTTCCCCAATGATGTCGTCTTTCAGGACCACATCAGGCAGGGGGACCTGGAGCAGGTGGGCAGATTCATACGTGCCAGGAAGGTGACGCTGGACACCATCTACCCTTCTGGTGAGTGCTGCCGGCCTCGGCAGAGCTGGAATCTGCATGGCGGCACGGCTCAGCTGGGCTGCGAGGGAGACAAGAGAGAGCCGCACGGCCAAAGCTGGGACGTGGGCCATCTTTGAAGGTGACAGGTTGGAATTGAGTCGTTTTCCTCCCTAGCAAGGAGTACTACCCCCAACATTGCCAAGCGGGGCCCAGGAGAGCCCGGTGCCGGTGCCCCAACAGCTCAGCCCAACAGCACGGTCAGCGCAAACTGCGGGAAGCGGGGAGGCTCACCCCCTGGGTCCCTTCAGGGCATCACCGTCCCGCTGCAGCGTGGTGGGACCTAGAAAAGGAGTCGTGAGCACAGGCTGGTCTGTGGAGCTCTGGATGGGACAGTGGGGCTCCTCCTGCCTTCTGCCCTGGCTTGGGGGAGGCGCAGGGAGAAGGAAGGCTCCGTATTTTGTTCCTGGCTCTGTCCATTTCTCACAACCACTGTTCTCTCTCACATGTGTGGATCTGTGGGCTTGTGGCATTTATGTTTGAGGGGAAGGCATTGTGTTATGTTTGCACTCAACCTCACTAGCAACTGTTTATGGAATGCCTTGATCCAAACTGGCTGGTGCAGAGCCCAGATTTCTCCCTTTCTTGTGCTTGGCTTCAGCTTCTGCTGTGACATGGCCTTGGAGACAGGGTCTCAGATGACCCCGGGCTCCCTCCTATCTATACTGATTGCTTCATTACTTGCTCTGTAAGGAGCTTCTGAAACTTGGATAGAGCAGGACCCTGGAGACGCTCTCCTCGTGCCCCACATGAGTCCCGGCTGGGACTCGGGGCAGGCCACTGGCCAGGAGCTCTGCAGGAGAGAGCAGCTCCTCCTCCCTTAATCTGTCCTGCCTGGCCCAGTGGGGAAGTGGGTGCTACGCCATCTTAGAGAGGGTATTTATGCTGTAGAAGGGGAACAGAAACCTGTGGCAGCTCATTTTGTTTCCTCAGTCCTTGTTTCTTTCCCCAAACTCATCTGCCCGATGACGAGGGTTTTGCTGACACCCCTCTGTCCTGGGCTGTGGACAACCTGCACTTGTAAACTCACAATCGAGACTCCTTCCCCAGTCCCAGGCAAATAAACCCTTTCCTTCCAGGCATGGCAGCCCTCCATGAAGCTGTGCTTACTGGAAACCTGGACTGTGTCAAGCTCCTGGTTAAATACGGTGCTGACATCCACCAGAAGGATGAGAACGGCTGGACACCCCTGCACATGGCCTGCAGTGATGGCTATGCTGACATCGCCAGGTGAGCAGCGCCTTGCCCGGGCTGTGATGGGTCACCCCTGCGCTGCAGAGCCCACAGAACCACAGCGACGGGGCTGTCCTGGGCTCCCGGTGTCTGCTTCCAGGAGGGTGCCCGGTACCTGCGGTACATGCGGGTCTGCCGGGGCCTTACAGCTCCCCGCGGCTGCAGTCGGGCATCGCGGCAGTGGGTCTGGGGAG